GGCTGGTTCCTCCTTTGATCAGCTGGGCTTGGTTGCTCCTTGAAGGATGGCTGCAGAGTGTCTTAGAGAGGCAGGAGCACTTTCTTTAGCCTTGGAAACCTCAGGACCTGGTCCAGGGCTTTCTTTTTCCTTGGAAGAAGCTGAGAAATGAGATTGAGAAGTGGCTCAGCCCTTCAGGCCAGATGTGCTCCCATCCATCCACCTGGGTCTAGTCCTTGAGCTCACACTTAAGACCAAGGGAACCAGACTGGCTCATCTGTGACAAAACCAGCTCCACCCTGGCCACAGGAGCTGTTTGGGTAGGAAAAGCTGTTGCTGAAGGCAGGGCAGGATGCTACACACATCCCTGGTGCTGGGGTTAAGTTGCAAACACAGGGTTGCAGCCTGGGCTGGGTAAGGACTGAGGTATGGTTTACACCTCTTTGGGCTTTCCTCCCATCAGGAGCTCCCCGTGGAGGGCCAGGGATGAGGTGGGGAAGGAGAACAGTGACACCTGTGCTGTCCCCTGTGCTAACCCCTTCCCTGTGTGCCTGGCAGGACCTGTGTGGTGCCACCACCTGTGACACGCTGGGCATGGCAGACGTGGGCACCATGTGTGACCCCAAGCGCAGCTGCTCCGTCATCGAGGACGACGGGCTGCCCTCGGCCTTCACCACCGCCCACGAGCTGGGTAAGGCTCCCGCCCTCCTCTTCCTCCCAGCAGCACTCCCAGGGGTCAGAACTGCCCTGGGTTTGGCCTCTGGATGATGAGACAACAGGTGGTACCTGGTGAGGCAGAGCAGAAATTTTCTACAGTAGAAATCTATTTTGATTTAAGTAGAATGTACATCTTTAAGTATGTAGCTTCTGACTGCAAAAGCTTAGGCTCAAAGAAACTGCTTCAGTGAAAGACAGATAAAAGGGAAAGAGACAGAGAGTGATAGAGAGGGACAGAGACTGCTGTGAAAGCAAGACAACTTGAGCTAGAAATTCTTTCTGATAAAGAAGAACTAGCAGCAAATGTCAAGCAAAATTCGTAAAAATGAATATGTATGAATTTCAGTTATTGTGAATTGTGTGCATATGTATTTGAGAAGGAGATAAGAAGAGACCTGAAGTTCCCAGAGGTACCCATGTCATTTTAAGAAAACGATTCCCACATGTGTCCAGCGCTGTAATAAACACACCAGCTTTACAACTTCCGCAAAAGTAGTGGAGTTTTGTTTATCTCCACAAAGCACTGGTGATAGGGAAACTCTGCCTTTCCCCCAAGCCAGATGGGAAAGGGCTGCTGAGGGAGCTGAAGGAGCTTTGCTCTCATGGTTGCTCCCACGGCTGGGTTTCCAGGATTCAGGGGCCTGAAATAACAGGCAGAGGGCACACCTACCTCTGTGCAGCTGCTGAAGTCACCTGTCACCTTCTCTTCACAATTTCCCTTGCCCTTCCTTTTCCCTGTGCTTTCCATGTGCATGAGGGAGAGAGCTGGAATGTTTGCTGGCTCTTCTGGGCTGTCCACAGCTGCAATCCTTGTGGGTCTGCCCCACTCCATGTCTCTGTCTCTGCTGAAAGAGGCTGGGGGGGTTCCTGCTCTTGTGCTGTGCTGGGTTATTCATGCTGCCTCTCTTATCCCACGCCCAGGGCACGTGTTCAACATGCCCCACGACAACGTGAAGGCCTGTGAGGAGGTCTTTGGCCGGCTGAAGACCAACCACATGATGTCCCCTACCCTCATCCAGATCGACCGTGCCAACCCCTGGTCAGCCTGCAGCGCTGCCATCATCACTGACTTCCTGGACAGTGGCCATGGTGAGTCCTGCTGTGCCCCTCACCCCCTGCCCATGTCCCTGTCCCCTGGGAACAGGGTCCAGCCCTGCAAGTCCTTACTGGGAAAAGTTGGTTGGCTGTAGAGCTCTTCCTCTCTTGGCTCTGTAAACAAATTAGAAGGAAATGGGAGGTTGGCAGCATTTCTGAAGTGTCCAGATCTCCTGGGTGTCCCCAGCAGTGACATCTGCACTCAGGCTGCTGGCACAGCTCCAAAGCATCACCAGGAGATGGAAGTATCTGCATGTGGGATACAGCCAAGATTGAGGGCATGCCTGGGCTAGCTTTGGCCCAATCTCTCCCTCATCTCCCTGCAGCAGTGCCTTCCCTCCCCACCCTGGTCCCTGTAGCCCCCAGGAGCTGACAGACCCTCTCCCACTCCTGCAGGGGACTGTCTGCTGGACCAGCCTGCCAAACCCATCCCTCTGCCCGAGGACCTGCCGGGCACCAGCTACAGCCTCAACCAGCAGTGCGAGCTGGCCTTCGGGGTGGGCTCCAAGCCCTGCCCCTACATGCAGTACTGTGCCAAGCTGTGGTGCACGGGCAAGGCCCGCGGGCAGATCGTGTGCCAGACACGGCACTTCCCCTGGGCCGACGGCACCGCCTGCGGCGACGGGCGCTTCTGCCTCAAGGGAGCCTGCGTGGAGAGGCACAACGTCAGCAAGTACAGGGTGAGTGAGTGTTCTGGGAATGCAAAAACACCTCACACAGCAAGTACAGGGTGAGTGCCAATGCTGGGAACCCAGAACAGGTCACTCAGTGAGTACAGGGTGAGTGCCTCTGCTGGGAGCCCCCAAATACCCCACTCAGCAAGTACAGGGTGGACATGGCACTTGGGGCTATAGTCTGGTTGAGGTGTTAGGGCATAGGTTG